GGCATACTTCAAGCGTCAGTTTGACTGAATCTCACATGAATTTCGATATCTGAAGATACTAGCAGTCATGAACCTTTCGTTTATGCCTTGCTCAAGTATTGCTATTAATCACTCCACAATTACATTCAAACGCTTTTTGTTCCGACCCCTGAAAGAGAAGAACTTTGTTTTCGAGTCTTTCTTTTGTCACAAGTTTTCTTACAAATTGAAAAAGAAAGAAAATTAATTTTTCCTAACAATTGTTCACACCACTGACAGTTGGTGAGAACTTTGTATTCAGATATTCGGCAAAATCATGAAGCAAAATAACTTAGAGGCACAGCGGCGCTTTTCATCACTTAGGAGACACAGCAAGCGAACAAAAATAAGTTGGAAGCAACTAAGCAAAATGGAATTTTTTGTAATTAGTGAAAAAGTCAAGTTCAGGCAGAGAAGCGAAGCACTACTTGCGATACAAGACAATCATAAAAAAAACATTAGAAAAAATTTAAAATGTTTACGAAAATTTGGCTAAATGAAATTTTCGTATGTCTCGATAAAAGTCAGTGGACTGTGGACTAGGCGCCCAGCTTAAGATGGAGGTACTTTCCAACGACTTGATACTGAAGTTTTTAAAACTCAGTTTCTAAAAAAACGGTCAAAAGTAAAAAAAACTTGTTTTTCCGAAATTCATTAGTTCATCTGCAAAAGCATGTCGTGATCGCTAGAACAGAAAAGTTACTCATAACCCAGTTTCTCGATTGAATACTAAACCTGAGAATTGGCACGGTAGTTTTCAAGTAAAGTAAGAAATTTCCAAAAAACAGTCCAAGTTTCAAAACATTGACTTGCTTGATGGCCATAACTTTTTTTAAGCAAAACATGGGCAGACCCAAGGGCAAAGATAGGATTTCACAAACCTGCTCTTTGATTAAACCTATGATATTAGATTTGGCCTGATAGTTTTCGAGAAAAGTCCCAAAAATGGTCAACAAATCAAAAGTTTGATATTTCCGAAATCATAGCTTTTGGTGCAAAAAATTAAGGGTAGCTTTTGGCGCAAAAGAAAAAAACGCAACCTGTTATTTCAATTGAACCTGAAAACTCTCAGATATTTCGAAAGCTGTAGACAGAGGGGTTGAGTAAAAGAGACTAGAAGAGAAGCAGGCACAGAAGGGAATATGCGGTCCTACCTTGATACCCTTTTTTTTTAAAATCGGGATATTTTTTGAGAAAAACAGAAAACTTTTTGAAAAAGTGAAAAAAATTTCCAAAGCCTCTCAAAAAAATTAAATTAAACCCAATGCTCTTTTTTTCATAATATCTGCTTTTCTCAAACATAAATTCATGGCAAACATGCCCAGCAAGACATTTAATCTTTGAATTATCAACGGAACCAAAACTTACGAAGCGGCAATCAAGTCGAAAACCATTTACATCCATCAGTTGAGCCAAAAAAATACGATTTTATAAAAGGCCGACAAAACTTGAGCAAATGAACCAAGGCCTGAAAAATTAATTTTAACCAAAAAAAAATTCAATTTTTACCGGAAAAATTTTTAAATTGCAGACATACTACAAAAGGTTCCGGCCGGATTTGAACCCCAGACCTTAGGGTGCAAAAATCACTACGTTACCTGTAGTTCAAGTGCGAAGTAAACTGAATTGTTGAGAATCAATAAAAAAGTAAGTTGAAAATTCGTAAATTGTTTTAAAAAAATCTTGTTCACAATTACGCAATTGCTTTGGCAAGTGTAATTATTACTGATAATTCACATTCGTTGTTTCCTCTGCTTTGAATAAATTATATAATGGATAACTAACAAACTGATGTTAATTTATAATCAATCGTTCCGAAATGTTACGATTCAAATCGTTTTATGATTATTATCGTACAAACTAAGCTTATTTGAATTTTAAAATATTTTCTCAACAATTTTTGTTTGTACATTCTTTAAAATTTTGCCACACTTAATAATGGAAATGAGTCACGACTGAAAATGAGTTTCGAATCCTGAAGATAGTCGAGAAGAACGTCGAATCCTAAAAATCGAACCGGAATATTCAGATATTTTCGTAATACCTTCGAAGTGACACACAAACATTACTTTTTGATTTATGTGTATATCCAGATACTTTTAGAGGTAGCAACATCGATTTCACTTTGATTGAAGTTGAAAGAACAGCAGGCAAGCTAATTGGTTTTAATAATTCTCAATTAAACTCAATTTATACAAAATAGGATGACCATTTTCTGGTGTGCAGAAAAGAAAAAAATTGGAGACAAGTTAGGAGGCATTCAGAGCATTAGGATCTTTACCCTGTTAAGAACAGTCTTGTTTTGTATACGCGTGGTTGTTTTGACTTATTTTCAAACATGTGGTATCGATGAGTAATTTTAACCATTGAGCCCAAACCAGACCATTGCTGAGATGATATCAACAGACCAACAACAAAAATCGTTGTTCGGTTGTGCAGAGATATCAGCCTAAAGAAAAAAAAGATCTTTTAAATCCCTAAAAAGAATTGGTTTCTGGGTATTCATATGTGGAATTTATACCAATTGACGAAATTTCGTTTTTGCAATAACAGATTCAAAAACTTTGCAGTTGTCAGTAATAACAGTTGTCAGTCATATTGCACCTTATTTGACTACTGATTTTGTCGGGTGATCCCCTATTCTCATTATGGTGCTATAGTGTAAATATTGTCATTATGGTGCTGGTTTTGTCCACCGTTTCCCGCGTCGTTAATAACTGATACTACTTTCAATTGCAATTTAAACACAGAGGCAAAGCTGAGCTTCGCAACACTTGCGATATAAAACAAGAAAGACGCTACGTTGGAAAATTAAAAATGTCGAAAAAACTAACTCTATCAAAAAGAAGAAGGCTTCTTGTAAAAAAAAGTCCAAGACAATAGAATGTGGAATTAGCATCGAAAAAAGTAACCAAGCGGTAACAAAGCCGAAAACACCTTAGCAGAAACCCTTTAAGCCAAAAAATCATCATAAGTTAGACTTATAAAACTCCTCCTCGCCCTCAAAACACCCACGCACATAAAAAAAATTTGCATTCGGGTGTGTTTTAGTTCTTTTTGTTGACCTCGCAAAATCAGGTACCTCAATTAATCATCGGTAAGTGATGTGTGATATAAACTAAAGCCCCTTCAGTTGTGATTTGAATGAGGAAAAAGTTTGAAAACAGCAGGCTTAAAATAGGTTCTTTATGCTTAATTTAAGCCGTGAAAACTTAACTTTAGCAAAACTTAGTTAAGTCAATTTTTTGTTTGTTAGCGCCATTTTGGAAATCAAAAATATTGAAAAGTTTTTTAATTCAAAAATTTTCTGCGAAAATTTTTTTCGTTTTTTTTTTCATTTCTCTGGAAAAATTGTTTTCCAATTTGCCTTTTTTTAAGACTGTCGATTATGTGTAAATTCTAGATGAAACCTTTGTTGTGTTTTTAGGACTATGGTCAGAACGTTCTGATCTACTTGAACAGTAACCGGCTATCCTTTTTCTTTTTTTGAAATTAGTTACTTATTTGAATTCAATCAAGTTTTTAAGTAAGCTGATGAGAGCAATTAAGCCTTTCACTTATCCGCCCCATGACCTCAAAGAAACTGAAAACAACCGATTTCCATTTTTTTCCAACTAAGGAACTTCATAAAAATGATTCATATCAAAGCCGAATATTCCGTTTTGAGCATTTTTGGGAGGTTCTCTCTCCCTTAAAATCAGCATTTAAGGATTTGCCGGTCAGAAATGGAGATCATTAAATATTACCTTTTGCAAAAAAACTTTCAGCCACAATTGAAGGGGCGACCCGCTCGGAACGCTACATAAGTTCATCAGTTAATGACATCCGCTACGAACTGACAGTGCTTAAGTTCTTCAGGTTAATGATACAGCTATAATTTTTTTTTATCTCGTTATCTTTCGAAATAGTGGCTCAAACTATCGACAGAAATTGTGTAAATTACCATCAGAAGATATATGATAATAGCATATAATTGATAGCGTGATCTTACTTACGACTTTAATTTGTACGTGACCTTAAACTGTTTGATCTTGTCACAATCAATGAAATGGACAATAGCTGACCGAAGTATTGGCTCATTTATACAGTGCTGATTTAAATTAACCGGACAAAACCCGTTTAACTTGAAATTTAAAATCCGTTTTTCTCAAATTGCGTTGAGTTTAGCTGAAAACTCATGAAGACAAAACTTGCTCAAAATTTTAGCAGAATTAATATGGAGTAATTTGTTTTGCGAATTTCGGGCCCAAAATTTTACCCCAAAAATGGGTCATTTTGGCTTTTCTTAGTTAAACAAAAATTACGCCAAAAATATCCAGTCGATCACAGACTTATTTATATAAAAGTAAGCCCCTTACGTAGCCCAACAAACTTTATAAAGGGTATATTCTCCAAAAAAAATTGCAAACCGTTTAAAAATTGTTTTTAAATAAAAAGTTGGTATTTTATATAGTAAAAACGACCTTTTTTGTCTATCAAACAAAATAAATTAACTTATACAATGTTTTGGAGAATATACCCTTATTAAAGTTTGTTGGGCTACGTAAGGAGCTCACTTTGATATAATTAAGTCTGTGATCGACAGGGTATTTTTGGCGTAATTTTTGTTTAACTAAGAAAAGCCAAAATGACCCATTTTTGGGGTAAAATTTTGGGCCCGAAATTCGCAAAACAAATTGCACTATATTAATTCTGCTAAAATTTTAAGCAAGTTTTGTCTTCATAAGTTTTCAGCTAAACCCAACCCAATTTGAGAAAAACGCGTTTTAAATTCCAAGTTTAGCTCGTTTTGTCCGGTTAATTTAAATCAGCACTGTACCATGTATATTGCAACCTGTTAGTTAAGCAATTCAAATTCGCGTTGCCACTGAAGTCACATCTAACACATCAATTTTGGTCTTGCTTCTCTGGTTTTGAGACTGATTTTCACTTCGATAATGTTTTGGGACTCAGAACATTTATGATTGCCTGCTCATAAAAGCTTTAAGATATGATAAATTGAATTCAAAATTAAGCTACACTGAATTTCAATCTGATGTAGTACACTACCGTATCTTTACAGAAAAATATACATGACCTACGTAACATGAACAGTTCTAAAAGAGAACAACCGAAGTACTATTTACTACAACATCTAATGACCACCATCCTACTGTAATTTCACATTCAATATCATCATCAACGGCAACAACAGCAGGACTATATCCGAACAACGCAGTAGATTGCAAGCCATCCGTCGCTTTAGACATCAACTACACGTGATTGGCTAACTGCGATGTGATAAGAAATTGCGCGGTAATTGAGTTAATGGGTTAGGATAGGTTTTGGGCAAGATGGCTCCGTGTAAATCCACATCATTTGTGGGACTGAGGGAAGATTGTTGGGTGACTTGGACCGATCAGTACTTGTTGATTCCAAAGAGACGCTTCTTGTGCAAATAGGGCAGTTTGGGAATCAGATTGAACATAAGCACGATAAAATTTACCAGGAAGAATGCCATCTCGTGTTTCGTGTAGAAGCTCACAACTAAAAAAAACGACCTGAGTTCAATTAGTTTTTGTGAAGGACACCAACAGTTGATTGAAAAAAATTTAATTGGACCCTAATCAGAAAGCGTACTTTCCCAGATACTTTTTCAAGTCAAATAAGAGGCCAGCTAAAGCTGGAAATACCTGTTTGAAAATTTTTGAATTTTTAGTACTGATCCGGAAGGAAAAGGGTTATTTCAAAAACTGGGCGTCACCCAAAGCCTTAGTTCGTTTTCTTATAAAATAACTAAGAGTTATTTTTTTGAGTTCGATTTGGCAAGATAACCTCCGAAAAATCAATAAATTTCAAAAAAGGGCAATTTTCGACCACAAAAAAATTGTCAGGGAAAAATTTGGGAAAAGATGGTATAAATTACTTTTTTTCTTCGATTTTTTTGGACTAATTTTCTGAATTTAGAAATTGAAACTCATCAAAAAAACTTGCCGTTAAAAGACAGGTGGCAACGGAAAACAGTCCCAAGCCAAAACGAAACAATGCAAAGAATTAATAAGATGAGTAACATTAACGAATACATTAAATTTTTCACCCCGTCAAGCCAGCACAATACAATTGAAAAGTAATGGAGCGTCAACCATGTGACCGCTTATGCAGGTCTTTTTCAACTCGTTCTAACCATTGAAGCCAAAACCTCAGATTTGGAAGAGTAGTTTTTGATAAAAGTCAAAAAAATTCAAAAAAACTGTCAAAATCAAAAACTTGTCTTTTCGAGGGTCAGAACTTGTTGTAACAAAAAATATGGACCGAAGCTTATTCAGGAGAATTTCCTACAACCAATTCTACTCATTAAAACCAAAATCTCAGATTTAGGAGGGTAGCTTTCGAGAAAAGTCAAAAAGTTTCAAAAAGCCTTCAAAAATCGAAAAATTTACTTTTCCGAGAGTCATTATTTTTTATATAAAAAATGGGCATAGACACTTACGCAGGGCAGCTTCCCCAACCCGTTCTATCCGTTGAACCCCAAATCTCAGATTTGGGCGGGTAGTTTTCAAGAAAATGTTTTTAAAAAAATTGGGTCAAAAGTCATCCCCCACACATTTTTTCGAAGGCTGTAGAAAGTGGGGTAAGGTAAAAAGAGAATGGGAGATTATGCAGGCACACAGAGGAGTCAGCGGAACTCCCATTGGTAACAATTTTTAGGAAAGCGGTAGAGTAGTTTTCGAGAAAAACTAAATTTTTATTTAAACAAATGAAAAACTTTACCAAAGCGTCTCGAAAAATAATAACAAAAATGATCAATCCCATACATTTTCATTATACCTATTTTTATCAAACAGCAACTTTTAAACTTGTAAATTGTCATTTCTATTTAAAAGCTTCACATCAAAAAAAGCACTGTAGACAGAGTCTGAAATAGAAAAACAGCGATCAATGACTGGGATACTTAATTTGAGATAACAAGATTTTTTTTCAGAAATTTCTCTTGAAAAAATGTTTCGCAACACTTCCGAAACAATTAAAACATAACGTGTCAAGACATGGGAAAGAAAATAAAGGAGCAAGTGTTTTTTCTTTAAAAAAAACTTAAAAAATACTTTGAGAACAGTCTAAAAAACGATCTACAAAAACTTCATTCCTTTGTTTATGACGATGATCAAAAACAGCCTTAGCAATCAATGAGAATCAATGACTGAGCGACAACTAAGGCGAAAACATGCAGGTCGACCCTCGTTAAGCCCAAAACGAAACGGTAGACATAAAAAATATTCAAGCTAAGAAAGTTTTCAAGTAAATAATTTACGACCTATCCTTCCTGAAACAGGCAGAAGCATTTAAAACAATTCGCCCTGGTGACTGCGCAATCTAAATTCAATTGCAATATAATTAAAACATAGCATTACAAGATATTGATACAGAGGCGAAGCGGAGCTTCGCATCACTTGCGATACAACACTAAACGCATAAAAAACATAAGTCGAGAACAAATGAAATGTGTTGAAACGACTAGGTACAGCTCAAAATAATTTTTTGTATGTCTCGGTAGATTTTCATTCTAGACAAACTTGACAGACATTTGAATGATAAACTAACAACGAAACAAAACTTAGAAAGAGGAAATAAAGTCGACAATCTTTGAGCTGACAGGTTGAAGCGAAACAAATAATATGTTTATATTTTTTAGGAAAATTTCTGTCCCTTTGAAACCACAATCAACGACACTTGTACTAGTAACTATATACATAGCCAATCGAAGATTGGAAAAAGTAATGAACGCAAGTAAACATTAAAAAACGCTGATTTTGTTGAAAAAATCTCAACTGAAAAAATAGATGCCCTTTAAGCTCTTTGAATTGCTAGAACAATTTATGAATGGCGCTTTTTTTGATAACATTAACCCAACTGAAGAAAACTGAATCAATAGGTAAATTTTTTATTCCGCTGGAAATCTTAAAATTAAATTCAACTTTTGAACCTAGAAATCTTTCACGTTCGCGCCATTTCCACGTCCGTATTTGGAGAGTGCTATTTACGTCACTTTCAGCAGATGAATTTCAATTGAACTCAAGTGCATATGTACCTAAGTGAATTCATAAATGGATAAATATGTATGAATGCACATCTGTAGTTATTAGAGCATTTCAAGACTACTCAACCAGACCTATAAAATCAACCAGACCTATATAATAGTCTTAACTACGTTCATTACTCTTAATCAAAATTGCTTACCGCACAAGAAAAACCCGTGATGTGGCAACTAAGCTAACAATCTTTAAGCAGACACCAGTTGAGCCGACAAAAAAATTTAGAAAGAGGAAATAAAAACGTGTCAAGACACTGCAAAGAAAAAAGAAGCGAGTGTTTTTTTTTTCAAAAAAAATACGCTTAAAAAAATATTTTGAGAAAAGTCTAAACTTCATTTTTTTGCAGTTGCAGGAAAAATGAGAGTTGGTTGCTTAAATAACACGCAAAACCTGTGATGTGGCAGTTAAGCCCACAAAATTTGAGCAGACATTAGAACTGAGACTGACCAATGAAGAGGACAATGGGTACGCATATGAGGAACTTGCGCGTGTCTGTGTACTGTTTGCCGTCATCCAGCTGTTCCCAGAGAGTCAGTCTAAATGAGCAGTCGGGGTCGAAGTTGGTGGAATCGAACGGGAGTCCCTTGACATGGTGGAAGTATACATACATGGCCACCCCATGGATCACATTGGTCAGAGTCCAGGCCATGTCTGTTCCGAACCAGGGCATCGCTAGCAGACTCAAGTGCACCATGATTATCAGGCACACGTATGTCACCCAAGCACCTATACAAACAGATGAAGCTGAAACGACTGTTGAAGAGTTCGTGTATAATACTCCGAAAGAAAGACGCAGGTGTCAATATTTTTCCAATCAAAACCTTTTGGAAGACACTTAAAGGAATTCTGTGATCGGTTCACCTTTGCTGTTCATCCAATAAGCGTTCGGATTCAGGGTGTTGAACCTCTGGATTGACTGATTGCGCCTTAAAGTAGCAGGACTACTACTAAGTGCACCTCTGGAGGTGGTCCCGTTCGACAACCGACTCCTCGTCGGTTGCTCATCGTTCAATGGCTCTTCAATAAACCGGGGGGAGCTGGATGCTGCTGTCGTTGATGCTAGGACATCACTTGCCCCCGACATTTTATGCACTGAGGGCTTTTGGAGTTGAAAAAAATTTGATACAATATTCAGTTCCACGTGAGTGGAAAAGTTGCTCGTTCGTGTGAACAGCGGCTTTGGCTAATTTGACAACTAGTATATCTGAAAGAATACGAAACCTAAATTCACCAATTTGGTAAAAAGATCGAATGATCCATTCAACTTGCATAAAGAGCAATAGAAATGGTGGAATTAGTTTTCAAAGAAACTCAGATTGAATTGAAGACTGAATTAAAATTCAATCTTCTACATGAAGTGCACAAAGCAAACACAACTAAACTTGATGTCCAGTACAGTACTATGTACATCTACTATTTACAAACTACGAAATAAATAATCTAAAAATAGGTTTCTTAATCTACTAAAACTAACAACACGATTAAGCGTATTTCCAAACCAATGATAAACCATGGCAAACACAAATAGGATCTCTTTAACTATGCCCCCTAGAGTACCTAGAAACGAACCACCCCTATAAAGAAATAAATCAGCGCTTACGCATATGAGAATTTTGACATATTAACGAATCCCCCCCTTGCAAAAGTGGGGAAATAGTCAAAGAGATCCTAAAAATGAAATTCGTGACCATAAAAATGAGTGATTAAATCTAAAAATTGCAAATAACGAATTAGAGGTCGAAGTCCGTATTAGCGTCTGTAAATGTTATATTCTGCTTGCTGAAGTATGATTCTTTCAACCTAGACAACATTGGGTACTTAGATCTGTGTTTCTCTAGCCAAGCGCCCTCATTTGCAGTGTATTGCACATTGGAATGTAGCGGCGAAGGGCTCTCAGCTGTATGGGCTGTTCGATCCACTGACGCAGAACTTGTTGAGGTCATATTGCGACATTCGATGCAGTTTGAATCTAAGACAGAGGGCTCGTTTTCAAGCGACGATAAGGTTGTGAGGGACGAAGTCTCGTCCGATTTAATTTGATCGATCTGTATTTCGTAATCATCGGGTAGCATGATGGTTTCGATGCCTTTCTGGGCATTAATCAGCGACATTTCATCGATCATTTGCTGGATACACAAACTCATCATTACTGCCTCATTGGTTAAAATTTTAACTACACAGGCTTTGTCGTGAGCGAGGTAGTACTCGAAACAAAGCTCATATTTATAATTAAACTGCTTATAAATATTGGGTTCTGTTAGCTCGCCAACACTCCAGCATTTGATTCGACAAACCTTCAGCTTAGCGCAGACTCTAGATCCTTCGCTCTGATTATATTCTAAGCAAACTTCATATTTACCGAATCGTGGTACAACATAAGTCTTTTCTTCAGGAAAATTTGCGACGCAGAGCTGAAACCTTATATAACTGCAATATCGCATTTTGCTTAAACTGTTCAGCAAATCTTCATTTGATTTTTCTATCAGTTTTGTTTTCGGGTTGTTCTTAGTATCTTTAGGTAGACAGAAACTGAACTTCAAGTCCTGCCTGATTTCATCCGCAACTAATTTAGCCACAACTGGGTTGCGGAGCAACTGCTCCTCAATTTCATTGGAAGACAGCATTTTTCGAAGCAAAATCGCAAATTTCGATGAAGGCATTTCCTGTTTGGCACCTACAAGAACTAGTGCTGGGCACTCACACGCTAAGAGTAACTTGTGATAGATAAGCACTTTGTCTTGCAGCTCCACCAGTACAAGTTTAAAAGCAAAAAGAAACTGCTTGGGGAGTAACAGAACTTCGGATGCATTTAGTAAAACGCTGACCGAAGAAGCCGATGGCTCGACATCTAACATCATAGTAGAAAAATCTGGAAGAGTAAGCGGAAAAGGCTGCTTCTGTTTATCCTTAGAGAAAGGAAAGGTATAAACTTGTTGTTTGATAAGGAATGCCGTAAATTCTGGTCCCGTTGTTATATCTACGCATTGAGAGAGTGTTTGTAAATATGTTTCCAATTTGTCTCTTCTGAGTTCAAGTTCACTTGAATTTAGAACCATCAGATGTCTCGGAGGAAATTTGATTCCCATTTCATCGAGAATTTCCGGGTAGTATGTTTTCAACTTGGTGTGAAGGTCATGCAGATTGCTAAATCTTGTCTTAGAATGCAGGAATCCATTCAAGTGGATGTGAAACACTTGGTGTCCCGTCGTCGAATTATAGGACGATACATTCTCCCATTTAGGGATTGAGAACTGCATTATCAAAGCATCACTTTTAATTACCACTTTTATACTACCGTGTAAGAATCGTTTCTAGCATAGCCAGATATCAATCACATAATAATAATTCAAGTAGCAGTCACATCATTGATCTGAAAGTAACAAAAAAAATATCAACCACCGGTTATCAGAAGAGACAAGAGCAGGTCAAAAAAAATACAGCAACATCTTGATGTGCCATTCCACCACATTAACCATAAAAACACACGACAAATCGAATTTTATTTCAAAGAAGTTCAATGGTACGATCTGCTGATTTTGATGATTCACGTTCTTTTTTGCTAAAAAGAACGGATTTAGTAAGGGTCAGTTTGAACTGTCATGACTGTTTTTAAAATATTCATTAAAAAATAAAAACACGTGACGACCTTGAAATTCGCGAAAACTGATAACCGGAAAACCAGACACGATTGTCGCGAATAGATGTAACGTTCGCCCGCAAGTACATACCGACGGAAAATAAAGCTAGGTTCTGAAACGACTGGCTAGCGTCTGAACACAGCTTCACATGCTTTTAATCGTCTCACCCAGAGCCAGTTCAATGTGTGGTCCATTAACATCGGGTCGACAAAGTCATTACTGAAGAAACTTTTGATGAAAAGTGAATTTAAAACGTTTTCGCAACTATGTGCATCTTCAGGATTTTTACAATTAACTTATCTGAATGGACTCACGTTGGTGCCTTGGGAGAGAGGTCAGTCACTCATATGGGATGCCACTGTTGTCGACGCCCTGGCACCAAGCCGTCTGTCCTCTGGCACTGCATCTCAATTCTCTGCTGCCTCTGAATCCGAAAACCATAAAACCTCGAAATACGCTGACTTAATAAATCGAGGATACATTTTCGCCCCAGTTGCTTTCGAGATCCAAGGCGGATGCGGTCCACAAAAGCTCAAATTTCTCAAGACCCTGGGTAGAAAACTCAACGAAACTACTCAAGAACCAAAGTCGTCATTTTACATGAAACAAACCATCTCCATTGCGATTCAAGTTGGAAACGCGGCGTCTGTCTTAGGGACATTGGGAGATAGCGACGCGCTCTCAGAAGTTTATTATTTCTCAAATAGGCCAGTTTACCTTTAAATATCTGTTTATATTTTGTACATAAACTCACATTTTGTACATACCTCGCTTTCTGTTCATTTCACTATCGTCTATGTTGTCCATATCCGGCCTTCTTACAGTGGTTCTTAAGGGTCGTGGTACTACCATGATGATTTAATGTTTTTATGTTTTTCCTGTAAATAATTATATATGCAATTTGTACATAGTTCCATTGGAATAACTTATTTATTATTGCATTTGAAAAAAAAAAATTATCTGAATCACGTTAGAACATCGATTTACAAATTTAACTGACAATAATTCAAATAAATTTTGTTTCTTAACAATCATTGTGCCAGTCGGTCATGTCTGGAAGTTTGACCTTGAGAGACACGAAAATACGTAATTTTCGTGAAATTTTAATTTTCAAAATTTCGAATGGAGCCTGTCATGCTCAGTTTTCTCGTACCAACTGAAAACACAAAGTGAAAAATCAGAACGATCGAGTAACAATCGCGAGAAAAGTTGCCAGATAAAACAGTAGGAAATTGCTACTCGCAATTTCCGTCATAATAAACTAGAGTAGAGCTGTCCTATCTGAAATAGGAGACAGAGTATTCCCGAGAACTGGACTATTGTTCGACTGGACGATTATTCGAACTGGACTAGAGTGAACCTTCGATGGAAAGGTGGACAGCTTGAGTGTCCCAAGGGTTCACAATAAAACTACATTCTAGAGTTCAAACTTACCTTTACTATTCAAACTGACAAACATTGAACTTTTTTAGTTATATTACCTAATTCTGGAGTTGCTTACCAATTTAATTACTCCCTGTACTCGAGTACATCAACATGTGAGTCCCCAATTTAAATTTCTCGAGTGAGTTTTATGATTGTTATGTTGAAATAAGGCGAGTTTTAGGTTGATCCATCTGAAATGGATCAAAGTTCCACTGTCCAATAAAGAGTAACTTAACGGATTGTTCCGACCCTTTTTTTAACGGCGTTCGCGTATTTTGGGTATTTTGAGACCTAAGTATGGGGACGTTCTTATTTTCTAGAGTGGGGGGATATTTTGGTAGTAGCCTTTAAGCTGTAACGGGTTCTAGTCTCATGTCGCAAGCGAACCGAATTGGCTCCGACCGTTCTTGAGGTAGAAAACACAAGAGATAGTGTCCCTGACTCTTGAGCCAATGGTTATAGGGCCTATTTTTCTTAAGCCTCATATGTGACCGAAGTAGGCGACTGTTACACATGTTGAAAAATTAGACAACCACAGTTGACTTCTAAAATTACTATTTAGATTAAAATACTTTTAACCTCTAAAATTAATTAAACAAGTGTTGATAAAAAGTGAATTTCAAACGTTTTCGCAACTATGTGCATCATCAGGATTTTTACACTAAACTTATATGAATCAAGATAGAGCATCAATTTACAAATTTTATTTACAATAATTCGATTAAATTTTGGTTCTGAACCATCATGTTGAAAAATTAGACAACCACAGTTGACTCCTAAAATTACAATTTAGATTAAAAAAACTTTTAACCTCTAAAATCTTTTCAAAGAATTCAATTAAACTGAACAAGAAATAAAAAGAGCGTATATACCGCACAGTTTACAGTTGAAGTAGTAAAGCGAAGGTTGTTTGTCAACTAGTTGCCTCAAGGATGCATCCAGCGTTCCCGCGCTGAATCGCTAGGTCTAGCTTTTGTTTGAGAAATTTAAAAGCTAGTTTCTCACCCGTTAAGACTGTTATTCGCCTTGCAAGTTCTTTCAAGAAAACTGCAGTAGACCTACCAGCGCCACCCAGTGTTTCCATGGCAACGGGTTTGAAAATTACAGTAGAAGTGAGGTCTGAATAGTGATTTCTTTTGCGGACTTGGGCCTCGCAAGCTGCATTGGCACCCGGAAGAACTCCCATTCGCAGATTAGAGTTTGCCAAACGACTTATACATGTGAAATCCCATGCCAAGGTCCGTCCTCGCTGCCATGGCGTTAGTGTGTGTCCATCTGGTCTGCGTCCATCTTTGCGTAGCAGCCCGATAGGTTCTAGTGTGGAACTGATGCCGAGTGATTTTATAGAATCTTTAATGATCATGTTGCCATTCGAGTGTCTGATGAACCTGTGCTTGATCTTCGGGCAGACAAATGCGTGTCTTCCATCTGTTGCTGCGACATAGCCACATTTGCAGGTGTGTTGTGCGGTTACTGGGGCTCCTAGACGCAGACCAGCTGAAATACGGAACTCATCATCGGACAACGTCAGACCCAGCGGACGAAAAGGAAGGACGTCCAGCCAAGCGCCTGAACCTACCGCGCGACAGCCGTGATAACGAGCAAGTGAGTTTTTGTCGGTACAATTGCTCAAAATGTTTGCGGATTGTTGTTCGTAGATAGGTTTTGTCCAAAATTTTTGAGCGCACTGGGGGGTTAAGTCTTCAAATCGGTGGTTGCTGAGAGACTCCCAGTGGTCGACGGCTTCGTTAAAAAGACCAGGATTGCTTATCTCAGGAGCAAGGCGGTGCCGTAAATTTTCAGTGGAAACAAAAGAAGCAATAAATGCTGATGAGCTGAGAGTGCTGGTTTTTGAAAGACCAAACCCTCTTTGTTTCGTGGGCAAGCAAATTTGACTGAAAGAGACATCGGAAATGATGCAGTTGAAGATTCTCTCGAATTCAAGGAATACAAGTGTGTCGATTTCGTCGAGTAAATCTGTGTGTATAAAGGCAGGACTAGCGCGGAGGACATACATAAGTTTAGGGACAAAGAAACAATTTTTAATGAGAAAGAAAGCGGTTTGACATGGTAAAGAAGCTGTTCGCTGCAGGAGTGTCTTGAATTTCGCAAGTTTGTCCACTAACTCTGCTCGAATCGACCTAGTGCGTAAGCCAGCCCCAAGAAGTGTGCTGTCTTCGGCATCAACGCATTCAATAGTGGGAAATGTCTCACAAAAAGCTCTTTCTATCTCCTTTTTACTGCTCCCAAAAGCTGTCATTTCGCACTTCTTCTCATTCAAAAGAAGACCAAGTTTCTGACATGCTTGTTTGATACTCAGAAGATCATGGAGAGTGGTGCGCCATTCATCAGCAAAAGCAACGTCATCCAGCTATCCAGTTTTCAGCTTGCTCAAGTGGTTCTGCAAAGCAGGATGTAGGACAAGACAAAAGCCAAAGGTAGCCAAGGGATAGCCTTGCTGAAACCCTTCTGTTGATTTGATGGTGGAGGCACCATAAATCAAGAAACTGCTGTCTTCGTAGCAGAGTTTCTTAAAGCTGAGGATCTCCGGGGCGTGTTCATTGATGGCTTTCAAAATGACATCACGTCTTACACTGTTGAAGGAGTTGGCAAAGTCAATTTTGACAAAGGCTCGATCACGTTCTGCGCATTCAATGAAATCGCGCGCTACATGGGCCGCCGCCTCACTCCCGTGTTTAAAACCAGCTCCTAGCTGAAAAGGCCAAAAATAATCTTTGAATTTTTCCAGCATGCGCCGTGAAAAGCATTTGGAAGTGAGTCTTCGCAAAGTGTCTCCAATTGCGATCGGGCGTATTCCTCCACATTTTTTGGCCAAAGTGATGAGTGTAGCACTGGAGACGACAGGCTTGATGAACGCAGGGTTGTTGCCTGTCAACAATAAATTTGTGTAGTCTGTCAGATGCGAGAGCAGGTTGTTGCCAGCTTCGTTAGCAGATGGTGAAAGTGCGTCTTTCACGTGTTGTGGTCTGAGGCCCGTCGGTCCACCAGCACTACCTGCGTTAAAAGACATGACCGCTCTCCTGACTTCAGACTGACTAACTTGAAGTTGAACACAGTCGTTAGATGGGGGTGTAGCTTTGTCTGCGGGTGCAGGAGGGTGTTTCGCGTCGAGCAGTGTTTTGTTCTCAAGAGTCGGTGGCAAGAAAGTATCGTCGCTGGCTGCCAACCTGACAGCTCCCTTGATAACTCCTTCGTCAAGTTTGGCAGCAATCAGTTTGGAGTTGTCGTTGTTCCCAGAGCTTGCTGGTTTCTGCGAGACTGGAGAAGGCCAAGTGTAGGACAAGACAAAAGCCAAAGGTAGCCAAGGGATAGCCTTGCTGAAACCCTTCTGTTGATTTGATGGTGGAGGCACCATATATCAAGAAACTGCTGTCTTCGTAGCAGAGTTTCACAAAGCTGAGGATCTCCGGGGCGTGTTCATTGATGGCTTTCAAAAGCCATCAATCATTTATCTGTTGCTAGCATTTTTGAAAGCATTTATCTGTTGCTGTATGGTGCTTCCAAGGGAGGTTCTGACCTTCTTACCTGCGCGTGTAGGTTTGCGGAGGTAGAAAGAGGGCATGATCAGATAGCGACCCCATGCTCCCTTGCTTTCCGGGTTAGTAACCACCTCTTTGATGCATTCAGCAAACGTGGAGGCAAAGTTGACACGTGCGAATTTAGGGACAAATTTATCAGTAGGACGTTGAAACTTAGTTAAAATCAGTTGTTTGAAATTTTTCAAAATCTAACTCATGTCGTTTGTCTGTATCGCGAGTAGTGTTCTATCCGGTTGTTTATGGGACCATGTGTGTAAAACTGCTTGTTTGCCTTTACCGTGACGAGTCGGTTGCAGTCAGGGCATATTTGTCTGCGGCTTCGGTTGAGTTCAGTTTTGCAGTTATCACATATAAAATCGATGTTGGGGGCTGCTTTTTTGCTCACTCCAACACAATCACTGTGTAACCATGTGTCACAGTTGTCACTTTTTTATAATTTCGATTAAGTTATGTACGT